TTCTAAAGTTGAGTTGACCTGCATTGCTTGTGGACCTTTCTTTCCTTGTCTTTTCATACTGCTCGCATTTCTTTCTGCTTGGTGAAACTGTTGTGTTTTTGAAATTTTCCCCCTATATATTTATATTGCTCTTGTATAGTTGAAAAGTCTCCCTTGCAGGGCGGGCAGCAGCTGTGCTCCTCCTCCAATTGGGGTGATCTGTCTACCACGCCAGCGGGTCGCTGGGCCTGTTCCGGGCACGGGAGGCGGCTCTGCTCTGCCCCTACTCCAATTGGGGTGACGTGTCTACCATGCCAGCAGTCCACTGGGCCTGTTCCTCCAGTCGGTCGCAGGTCTGCCTACGTTGCGGGCACGGGCGGCGGCTCTGCTCTGCCCCTACTCCAATGGGGTGACGTGTCTGCTGCGCCAGCAGGCCACTGGGCCTGTTCCGCCAGTAAGTCACAGGCCTGCCTACCTTGCGGGCGCGGGCGGCGGCTCGGCTCTGCCCCTACTCCAATTGGGGTGACGTGACAACATTCCCCTGGGTCGTTGGGCCTGTTCCGGATGCGGGCAGCAGCTCTGCTCGGCCCCTATTCCAAATGGGGTGACATGACTGCCACGCCGGCGGGTCGCTGGGCCTGTTCCAAGCATGGGCGGCGGCTCTGCTCTGCCCCTACTCCAATTGGTGTGACGTGTCTACCACGCCGGCAGGCCGCTGGGCCTGTTCTGCCTGTCGGTCGCAGGTCTGCCTACCTTGCGGGCTCAGGCGGCGGCTCTGCTCGGCCCCTACTCCAAATGGGGTGACATGATTGCCACGCCGGCGGGTCACTGGGCCTGTTTCGGGCGCRGGCGGYGGCTCTGCTCTGCCCCTCTGGCCTCCACAGTATTCAGCAGGACCCAGACCGAGAAGCAGTTTCTGCGGGTTCTTTAGCCCTGGGCCAGAGCAGTGCTGGGAGCCAGAATTCGGCCGCTCCGGGCTCGGTGTATGTTCTGATAGGAGCAGGCTCCAAGAAGCAGTTTCCGCAGGTTCTTTAGCACTGAGCCTGAGTAATTTGTCTGCGAGACGCAGGCGAATGGCAGCCTGAAATTACCTGTTCTATAGCTGAATTGAAGTTTGTTAATATTGTCTCTACCTCAGAACTATTTAGAATCAGAATCTCAAGGAAATGGTACCAAGATATTTGCATTTCAAACAAGTTTCCAAGATAAGTGACCAGGTCTAAAATCACTGACCCACTTGGTCTCCCTGTTTCCAGTCTTCTCCTTTTCAATGTATCCTCCACACTACTGTATCGGATCATATCACCCTAATGCTTAAAATAATGTTAAACATTTTGCTTGCTGATAGGATAAACTCCCAGTCACCTGGCATGACAAATAATCCTTTCTTTTCTTATTTGTCCCATCCTTTCTCTGATGCCAGATATCCAAAGCCCAATCCCACTGGCCTCTACCACCAAGTAATGCTTATACAGTTCCCCAAACATTCCATGCTATTTGACACCTTTCTGCTCTTGCTCGCAGTGATTGTCAACCTTTCCTTATCCAATTTATCAGTTCATTACCAGCTCCAAGAATCACCTCAATCAGGTCTCTTTGAGGCCACATCTTCCCTTACTCTGACTAGCCACAACAACCCAGGCATAGTACGTGTCCTCACTGCACCCAGTTCATATGTACTTACTAGTGTATACTTCTACCTTCATTTAGCCTCTAAGCTACTAGAGAGCAGGTACTTAGCTCAAGGTCTCATATGTAGTAGATGCTCAATAAATGTGTGTTGAAGAAAGGAGTGAATCATGGACTTCTGCAAGAGGTGAGCAATGCAGTATCAAAACTAAGGAGGAAGGAAAGTATTTGGCTTCAGATATGCTTTTCTACTAGCTCAGAAGGCAATTTCAAAAAAAGAGGTTCTCAACCTAGATACCCTCCAACAGATGAATGAATAAAGAAAATGTGGTATATATACACAATGGAATATTACTTAGCCTTAAAGAAGAATGAAATTATGGCATTTGCTGGTAAATAGATAGAGCTAGAGTTTATCATGCTAAATGAAATAAGCCAATCCCAGAAAAACAAAGGCCAAATGTTTTCTCTATATGTGGATGTTAATTCAGTGTGGCTAGGGAATACGGAGAAGTCCTCTGGATTAGGCAGAGGGGAGTGAAGGGAGGGGGAATGGGGGGTAGGAAGGACAGTGGAATGAAATGGACATTATTATCCTGCATACATATATGATTACATGACCAATGTGATTCTACATCATGTACAACCAGAAGAATGAGAAGTTATACTCCATTTAAGTATGATGTGTCAAAATGCATTCTACTGTCATGTATAACTAATTAGAACAAAATTTTTAAAAAGAGATCATTTGAAGTAAGGGGCTCCTAGGACTGTTATGATATTCAACCTTGGTTGGAATGTGACAGTTCTAAGTTTATGTCAAAAAAATAAAAAACAAACATCATTAATATCATTACTTAATGGTGGTCCTATTTGGCTATTATTGAGCTGGGGCTGGGGCTCAACGGAAGAGCACTTGCCTAGCATGCGTGAGACACTGGGTTCAATCTTTAGCACCACATAAAAATGAACAAATAAAATAAAGGCATTCTGTCCATTTACAGCTATAAAAAAAAACATTTTTTAAAAAAGAATGCTATTATCAAAAAGACAAGGGATAACAACTGCACACTGTGAGTGAGAATGTAAATCAGCACAGCCACTATGGAAAGGCTGSCTTTGAACTCAGAGCTGCTGGGCTTATATGTGTGTGCCACTCAGTTCGAAAGCAATTTTGATTGTTAAGTGCTACTGGCAGCAAGTGAGTAAAGACCGGGGATGCTGCCAAATACTCTATAGCTCAGTCATGAGGATTTGCCAAGCCTAACAAAGGTTCTAGATTTGATATCCGTCTCTGAAAAATCAAACACCCCCCCTTCCCCAAATCCCCAAATTGACCCAAATATCAGTAATTCTGAAATTCAGAAAATCTAGCTTAAAGAAACCAAATTTCCCATTATTTCAAAAAGTCCAGTGTTTTAAAATTACAAATTTAATAACTCAGTTACTGATAAAAATAACAATAATTAAAAAAAACTGAGGGTAAACTACCTTTTCATGATGTAAACTTAGCATTTCAGGTCTGGGGAAATCCTGCTCTATGTTGTCGGCAATGTTCTGAATTGATAACAGCTGTTCATCAATTTTCTGAAGCTTAGCGTTGAGAAACTCTAGTCGGCAAGCTGCAGGGCTTGGCACAGGGCGAACTGCAGTATGGCGAGCTGCAGGGACATCCTGCAGCACTTTCCACAGCAGATAATTTTCTGCAGAGTTTGACTTTGTGCTCTGTTCTTGGAACTGGAATCTTGGTCTTGGTAGATCTAAATATTAATTATAGTAAAATCAGAATTGATTGTAATTAAGGAAGAGGCAGATAATGATAAATCTCATTTTTTGGACGATCTTACTGTAAGGCAACATAACATTATTTTCCAAATAAGTTTTAATTTAAATATATGTAGGGGATTGGGGATGTAGCTCAGTGGTACAGCACTTGCTTAGCATGCGCAAGGCCCCTTGGGTTCAATCCCCAGCACTGAAAAAAAATTTAATATACTTATAAATTGTATTTCTTTTGCAATTTGTCTAATGTGAAATAAGGACCCTTAAGAATGTTAGAACCACAAGTCCTACATATGAGGCAGTCKGAATGTTATTTTTATCCCCTATTACACATAATTCATAAAAAAAGAAACTTTAACATTTTTATGACTTTTTGAAACCAATGAAAACCAAAATCATCACATACTAGGTCCAATGATGGCTACTGCTAACTTTATGTGGGATCTCAGATAAATACCAAACCTCCACAGACCAGTATCAATTGATTCCAGACCCAAGTTTGAGATACCTTCTTTTTTAAAATGAACTCTCCTTCTGGCATCTCAGTCTCCCCTCCCTGTGTTACTCATCCTGTTTAGGCCTTCCTTTATCCACAGGCACCTTCAGGGTGCCAGCCTCAGCACAGATCTCTCCTCACTCTTCTCACCATATCTGAGCGATGTCACACAAATGACTCCTAAAGGCCATGTGGTACTCCCTCTGAACTCCAGCTGCACAGTAGACTGAACTCATTGCTTCCTACCACTTTGAACCCTCTTCCCTGTTTCTCAACTCAATGAACAGCACTACCATTTACCCTGTTTCCCAAGTCCCCAGTCTGAGAGTCACTCAAGGTTCTTGTCTCTCCTTCAGAGCCAAGTGATACCAAGGATTGATTCCACCTCCTGAATACCTCCAATCCTACTACCACTGATCAACTCGATATATTTATTTTTCTTCCCAGTACCTTTCTGTGTTTCTCCAGTGCCTTCACTTCAAAGGCCCAAATACCTCAATATAACAGACAATGGCACTCATTTCTTGTTATTTTTTCCCCTTTCTTGTTTTGGTACTGGGAATTGAACACAGGGTGCTCTACCATTATATCCCTAACACTTTTTAGTTTTTACTTTGGGACAAGGTCTCACTATGTTGCCCAGGTGGGACTTGAACTTTCAATCCTCTTGCCTTAGTCTCCTAGATTCTCTGGGATTACAGGCATGTACCACCTGCCCAATTTCTTGCTATTTCTTTAAACAAACAAAAAACACTCTGTTTGACTCCAAGCATACTGACCGTCACTTGTCTCAAACTCGGCAGGCTCCATCAAACTTCTGAATCATTGCATAGTCCATTTTCTCAGTCTGGATGCTCTTTTTCTCTCTAAATCCTACTCTACTTCATTCCACTTTAGTGTCTCTCCCGTAAATAGCCCCAAACCTCCCCTGAAATAGATGAGATGCTGTATTACCCAAGGTCTCATCCATGCCACTGTCACAGCCCTTTCCAAGCTGTATCATAATCAACCCCATAATTACCTGTCTTTCTTCCCCCTATAGGTATGCTCACAGGTTAAAGGCATAGTCCTTTCTTCTTTAGTCCTGGTACCTGGTTCCTAACTTAGTGTTTGCAGAATAAAGAACAGGTAAAGTGAATTATGATGCCTGACTCACTTAACTCGAGAAGTTTTGTGAAGATCAAATTTAAAACAAAGTTCTTTGAAAAAAATGTGAATTGGTAAACAAAAATGATTGTTACATTTCAGTCCCAATCTAAGGTGAACCTTCTGTGAGAAGACAATGGTAAATGCAATGGCAGTTTCCCTACCTCTTTCAGTTTGACTTTCACAATATTTTACCATCTGTCTAACCTCCATGTTTCTCAACAGCCTGAAACACATCTCCCTTAACACTTAACAGGAAAGATCTAGTGCACACAAACTTCAAATGGTAAAGGCAGCAAAAGAGATGAACATGCTTAAAATCCAGACTTCCTTCTTCCGCTCTACTTCACTAACAGAAAATCACACAGGAGGGTTAAAACTGAGTTTCACTGACCTGAAATGTTCTTCCGTGGGTCAGAAAAACTCTGCCTGCTGTTACTGATGCTATCTTTCATGGGAAAAGGATTCTAAAATAGGAAGCTACTGTAATTCACAATAGTGAGCAGGTCTCCCTAAAACAAGAACTGTTTACTCTTAATACCTAGAGACCCTATTCTTCCCTTCCCTGATCCTTCTCCTGTCAAGCAAATTCCACTCAACTCTAATGTGCAATTATATTCTGAGTCTTTACACTATATTACTATAAATACCATGATGGAATTAAGTTTCAAAATATAAAGCTTTTCCTTTTAAATTAGCATTTTTAAGTTCTTCTCTTCAAGAGTAGATAGAACTAATGTATCTTTGCAAATAGATATTCTCCTTAAGAAAGGAATCTCCAAATGGTTGATTGCAGACCTGATCTTTCTGATAAAGAAAATTAACCTGAAGTTTGTAGTCTTTAAAATGCTGGCCTTAGCTACTCAGGAGTCTCAGGGAGATGGATCTGCTTCCAGTTTTCCCGGATTTCAGAAATTAAGAAAATGAAGGGAGACTAAGGGTACCTAAGCAGCCATGGCACTTGGACAACCCTATGAGATTGCAATTGTGTCCCACAGAGAAACAAATAAAGATCAGATAAAGTTAGTAAATTTGCAAAACATCTCCAAGCTATTCAGGAATAAAGCTGGGATTGAAACCTAGGTGTGTTCTAATTGAATCCAAAAGCCAAGCTCCTTTCACTCCAGTTTCTATATCCTTCACCAGCCCGAAAGACTATTAGCTTCTTAAATCTTGCTACTCCCACCACTTGTACATACTACTACCCAAGACAGAACAGAGAGAGGGCAAAGGCTTCAAAATCTGATATGTTGGCACCTGTTTGTTTATGCAGCTATAATGCACATCCCCAAACATCCTAAAGTGATACACAAACATCCTAAAGTGATGTGTCCCTCCTCCCATCCCTTTCTTGCTCCTTATACCTCTTGAGTGCCCACTGTTGACAGACAATGAACCTGCATCTTGCAACAAAGCAGGGTCCAGAATTCCAACAGCTGTGGAACCTAGAAAAGACATCAGTTCTGTTGTAGAAAGTCTGATTGCCAATTGGATTAATCTAACCATTCATAAGATATAATAACTGTATACTGTAGAGAAATATTCTTCTAAATATTATAAAAATTTGCCACATATAACCTGATTTATTTAAAACTAAATATTTTACTGGTTAAGTAATGTTGGCTACCATGCCTATGTTTTACGTCTGTTCTGCTGCAGAATTTCCCAACTTTTTAAACATAAGAATTCATTTTAAGCATCAAAGTACTCAAGAACTCCCACAGGATATTTATATTTTAGCCTCCTTAACTGAGAAGATACATGTACAAGTACATCCATAGTCTCCTTGTAAAACATGGTGCTAGCTTAATGGCTAAGCTCATTCATCTACCTGCCCTCTCCACTTAACAAAGGACAAATCTCTTTCCTGTTTCTTTTGCAATTATCAAGCATTAGTGCTAGTTTCCATCATAACAGGAATTTGTGAGGGAAAGTCATGCTATACATCTTCTGTCATTCACCTTGGTCCTGCTGACTTTCTAATGGAGTCACTGAGGAGATCCCAGGTTCCTTCACTTCTGTAAAGTCTGCTCTCCAGGTTTTTTCATCTAGACAGGCTGGAGTCACTCTTGGAGGCTCAGAAAATAAGTCCACAGGAGAACTGKCAGCTTCTATCAAGAATATGAAGGAGGACGTACAAAGATTGATTCTGAACTTCTAAAGAAGGTGAATTAAAAGATTTAAGAGATAATTTCTGAATGTGAAATATAAACATCTAAAACTGCAGTGGGCTTTCAGAAAGGGAGCTATGAGATTTGAGTAGGAATAACAATGCTATGTTATGAAATTTTTCAAAATGTATTTAAAGTAGGAAAAAGTTATTACCTTGACTTTTACAATTGTGTGGGGGAGAAGTATTGGTAACTGAAGCTGCCAGATAATGTAAGTCTGCAGATGATGGGACCTCCAGATGATCACTTTGCTGTTTGATAACATTCTCATTTGAAGGCTCTGCTCTGACAGGTAATTCCTGTAGATCATCAGCTTCAATGTCAACCACATTTATATAAGTGTGTCCAACCTGAGTTAAAGCACATAAAAATCATTCTTATTACCTTGGATAGCCACTCTATCTCCCACCCCTAAAAAGCTAAATTCTTCATTATTATTACTAAAAAGCAAGAAGAGCTTTTATGTGCCTAATCTTAGGGAAGCTGCAGGAAATAAGTCTCATTGGTTTTAGTTTACAATGTTCCAGGGCATAATACTTAAATTGATTTTTGATCTTTCCTACAAAGCTACACAGATGAGATTTTTAGCTTCATTTCACCCATTCAATTGTATAATATCTAGAAAAAACTAATAAATTTCAGTACAATATTAAAACTTCTGAATACATAATTTATTACCATATCAGGTGCTGAAGGAGACAAAGATTTCTCTGATATTTTAGTAGGAAGTTCAACATTGAGATGTACATCTGGAACCAACAGCTGAGGAACAGTTACAGGTTCATATTCTGAAAATTAAGAAAAATTGGGAATGTAAAAATATCTTTAACTTGACCTAAATCATTAATTTTGTAAAAACTAGTAAACAACAAACAACATAAATGCATATGTCCTAAAAATCTAAATAGAAGCTTCATGGGTATAAAAAAAAATTAAATTCTATCATATTCTATGGTCAAGTTACTCTAGAGTAATCCGTAATTTAATAAAGATAAGTATTGCCAGGCATGGTGGCACATGCACGTAGTCCCAGCCTCAGCAATGGCGAGGCACTAAACAACTCAGTGAGACCTGTCTCTAAATAAAATATAAAATAGGGCTGAGGATACGGCTCGGGTTGAGTTCCCCTGAGTTCAATCCCCAATACAAAAAAAAAAAAAAAAATTAAGTATTGATTTTCTCATAATGTGATAAGAACAACAAAGTATCTAAATTATGTCATGAAAATGCTATAATTTCCTATTTCCACTTCAGATATATTAACTCACATTCATCTACTTTATTTAAGAGAACTTCAATAAAGCCAAATTTTAAGAAATAAACCTATAACTAAATTTGTAAAAATKTTTGTTTCTTGATACTTAGGTCTTTATCTTATTACTAGTTTTATTTATGTGAGAAATAAAGTCTAGTGGTCCATTTTCAGAATATAGTACTTACCTTAAATGTAACATTAGGATGTAAGAAGGGCAGCAGGAGGGGAAATGGAGCTGAATGGAAAGTTACAAGCAGTTAACTCACACAATAGCACCACAGCCTATGGATGTGGCAGATCCAAAGTCCACGCACCTCAACAGCTCATTCTCCCTGGAGGGCAACAGCAGCAGGAGCTCAGGGAGTGTGAAAAATCCCCAGCTAAGTGGGTACTGAGTACATAGGAGCTTGGGACTTACAAGAAACCCTCAATAAGGTTGAGTACACAAAGGGAAACTCAGCTATAGAAACCTAATGAAACAGAGGAATAAAAATTCTAGGCCTAGGAACATTCATAAAATGGAAAGATCCGATATGTACAAGTCTTCTTTCCCTTAAGAACCTTTTCCTGAGGAACTCATGGGCTCTCACATTCTTTAAATATCTGGACTGACTCTAATCTGATTCAAAAGCACATTCTGGTCTAATATAGATGTTTCACATGCTCCTTTATTAAAGTAATTACAGCCATGCTATTCCTCCCAAGTTTGTCATTTTCTGAGCTCATAATTTTTCAGGTGAATTCTCCTTTGGTCCTGTGTATCTGAAGTAAGATATTTTGTTCTGATTACTTTTGTTTTGTCTAACTGGGGGGTTTTTTGTTTGTGTTTGTTTTAATTTTGTTTTCATGCTGTTTTTATTCAGAAGCCGACTATCCAAAGGTCAACTCTCAAATGCACTTAAAAATGAAAGAGGTCTTCTTCTTTGGAGAGTCCTAACAAGGAAAATGAACTGGTAATGGTAGGAGTAAATCTATCTCATGGAGGATGAGCGGTCACCTAAACCTCGGATTTTAGCATCCATCACAGCTGCCAGACTCTATTCCCAATTGTACAGACCCATCATGTCTGAATTATACTGTAAAAAAAAACTCTGGGACAGGCTGTTTAAATTTCTAAAGGGTCAATTTACATTGGCAAGAGTAAAGATGTCTTTAAAATTTCTAACCCACAAGGTTTTCTAGTTGACCAATCAATCAAAAAAACATTAATTTCTATAAAATGTTTAAAGTGCAATGTCCACTACATGTAAGAATTTTTCTTTGGTAAGAATTAACTGACTTAAAGTGTTAACTAGACTTCTCTGATATGTTGGTTTTCATGGGTACCCTAAGTTAAAAATGGGTAATGAGAGTTAACATGAATGGGATAAACATTGATAAATGTGTTTGTTACAAGTTTTTGCAAAGTTAAAATACTAAAACATCAACTGCTAAATATAAACTTAAATGTGGCTTCTTAAACGCCATAAGGTAAAATATATACGGGTCTACTAAACGTGTTCTTAAAAGTTAGTAAATGGAAAAGTAATTTTTTAATATATATATATTTTTTTAGTTATTGATGGTCTTTTATTTTATTTATTTATACGCAGTGCCAACAATGGAACCCAGGGCCTCACACATGCTATCAGCCACAACCCCAGCCCCCTGGAAAAGCAATTTTAAGGTTGCTTTACTTCTGGGCCTAAACTAAAAGCAAAGTTACCAAAAGTTAAAATTCTAAAAGGTACAATTCTGTACATAAGGAGTATGAAAAGTTTCAGATGAGCTTTGATGAAAGGACTGTAAAAATCATTAAGTATTTCATTTTATTACAAAAGAAGTAATTTGTCAAAATTCAGAAATTTCATAAGGATTGTTTCAAAACATAAATTTAAAAAAGAGTGAACAACTGGAAGAAGGGAAATATAAAAAGTTTTAAAAATGAAAATGTGTGTTTCTAGATGACAAAGTATTGTAGGGTAAAATTATATTCTTGTACTAAAGCTGAACATGAAAGAGAAGACAAAACTAAGAAA